TTTTCTTTCTTTCTTTCTCTTTTTAATCTTATCTTTTAATTTCCATCATGTTCTTATTTCTAGATAAGTTTTATGTTTCTCATATTCAACTGTGCATCTGTGTGTGTGTGTCGTTTGTGTGTGTGTGTGGTGTGTGTGTGTGTGTGTGTGTGTGTGTGTGTGTGTGTGTGTGTGTGTACGGAAAGCATTCAAATACCTTTACACACATCGCTCAGCCATCCCCATCCCCCCCCCCCAGTAGTAATCCGGTTTTTAAATGTTTGTGTGCCTGTTTGTTAGTTTCTGTGTAATGCTGTTTGCTTATGTTGCCTTTCTCTTTCCTACTTTCCCCTCTCCCTCCTCTCTCATTCTCTCTTCCCTCTCATTATCCTCTCCTCTGCTCTCTCATTTCTTTCCCACTTACTTTCTCCTTTCCCTCCCTCCTCCCTCATCTCTTCTCCTTTCCTCCCATTATCCCTTTCTCTTTCTGCTCTCATTCCTTTCCCTCTTACCTTTCTCCTTTTTCATTCTCTCCTCCTCATCTCTCTCTCCTTCCTCCCATTATTCCTCTCTTTTGCTTCTCTCATTTTTTCCCACTTACTTTCCTCTTTCCCCTCTCCTCTCTCTCATCTCTCTCTCCTTTCCTCCATTATCCCTCTCTCTTTCTTCTAACATTCCTTTCCCTCTTCCTTTCTCCTTATTTCCCTCCTCCTTTCCCTCACCTCCTCTCTCATTCTCTCTCCTTCCCACCTTTTCCTCCTCTTCCCCCCCTTTCTCTTTCCCTCCCGCCTGTCTGTTTGCATGTGTGGCATGTGTGCGTGTCTGTGTTGAGTTATGTAGCATTAGGGACGTGTGGTAGTCCCTGACTTTGTGATTCGTGTGCGTGGTATTGCCTGGTATTTCTGGTATATGTGTGGTATGAAGTGGACATGTCTGGTATGGATTGACGTGTCTGGTATACGCTTAGGCTATAGGTTGGTATTTGGTATGGTCTGATAGTGTCTGGATATGTCGGGAATATCTTGGTTTCCTCTGTCTGTCTGTCTCTGTCTCTCTCTCTCCTCTCTTTCTCTCTCTCTCTCTCTCTTCTCTCTCTCTCCTCTCTCTCTTCTTCTCTCTCTTCTCCTCTCTCCTCTTCTCTCTCTCTATCTATCTATCTATCTATCTCTACCTCTATCTCTATCTCCTCTATCTCTACTCTATCTCTATCTCTATCTCTATCTCTATCTATATATATTCTACTCTACCTATCTCTATCTCTATCTCTCTTCTCTTTCTCTTTCTCTTTCTCTTTCTCTCCTTCTTTCTTCTCTCTTCTCTCTCTCTCTCTCTCTCTCTCTCTCCTTCTCTCTCTCTCTTCCTCCTTCTCTCCCTCTCCCTCTTCTTCTTTCTAATCTCTCTCTCCTCTTCTCTCTCTCTCTCTCTCCCCTCTCTTCCTCTCTTCCTCCCACCCTCTCCCTCTCCCTCTCTCCTCCTCTCTCTCTCCATCCCTCCCCTTCTCTCCTCTCCCCCACACCCTTCTCCTCACATTCTCTTTCTCTACCCCTCCCTCCTCTTTCACCATTCCCCTTCTCTCTCCTTCTCTCCACCTCTCTCTTCTGCTCCCATCTTCCTTAATACAGAACAACAAATAAAAAAATCCGAACAGAAAATTGTTCCAAAGTTACCGGGGGAACAACATCAAAAGTACATCAGTCGTTGAAATTCTCGTAAACAGAGAAATGTGACCTAAAAGTGCGTGCGTTTCTCTCGACACTCGCCAGGTAATCTGTTTGTCACCCTTCGGATAATTGTTGATTAAAGAAAAGTAGATTATATCACATTAAGAGTGCCAGTCTTAACGCGGGGTGTTAATTGGTATTGGTGTGCGATGGGGCTCTTGAGAAGGAGGGGAGAGGAGGGGGAGGGTTGAGGAAGGAAGTGGAGGTGGGGTGGAGAGAAGGTGAGGTAGGGGACGGAAAGGAGGAGGTGGGGGGGGAGGAAAGAGGAAAGGGAGAAGGAAGATGTTGGGAGGTAAATGGGTGAGAAGAGAGCGAGAGAGCGAGAGAGCGAGAGAGCGATGAGAGCCGAGAGAGCGAGAGGAGCCGAGAGACGCCGAAGAGAGGCCGAGGAGAGGGGAAGGAGAGAGGAAGGAAGGGGGGAAGAGAGACTAGAGAGAGAGAGAGAGAAGGAGTAGAGAGATAGCAGAGAGAGAGAGAGGAGCAAGAGGTTTTTAAAAGGAAAGAAAAAAGAATAGAAAAATAAGAGATAGAGAGAGAGAAGAGGACCGTATAGCATGTCTAAACATAAAGGCAAAAGGAAAGTAGAAGTATTATGTGTTGTGTCTAGTTATGTGCATCCCAGACCGACAGCCCCCCTCTCGCGTGTTTCCCCTCCCAGGCTTCTCCCAGGTGATCCACTGTCCACTTCGCTTTGGGGATTCCTTCTGCGTCTCCTCTCCTTCCTTCCTTTGTCTAACCCTTGGTTCCTTTGGGGTGTCCTAAATTTTTTTTATCTTTGTTGGTTCTTTATCATCTCCTTT